CTGCTTGTTGCAAGTGGGCTTATCTGGAACATTTGCAACACACAGTGCATTTACGGTGGATTCGGTCTTTGCGTCCACCGAACCGGACTGCCGCCACCGATTTGATCAGACAAGCGGCACTGGCTTCCCCGCATTCAATCGTGACGGGTATGTACATTTGGCAGATATACTATCTACTCAAAGTTTTAATCACACCGGCATGTATATGGCTGTAATTGAAGTATGAAGGAGTTAACTAAATCAGCTCAGAAGACGTACATACATGGAATTGAAGCTATAGAAGTGGACTGTAGATTAGATCAGGAGACGAATTTCGATAGTTCTTCGGTGATGAACTGTGATATCTGATCCTATGCCTTGTCACATAGGCTCCACGTTTTTGTATGATGTGAGGACACTTTTTAGCATTTCCCCATTGCTCATAGGCACGCCAAAAATTTTCATCGGGTTTGCCTATGGATATTGGGACCATCCCAAGGTTCGCCTTCGACTGTCTAAGTGTGTTAGTTTTAGTAATTATGATTTTTCATATATCCGTAGCAATGGTAAGCATAACCTGAAATCGGAACTATATTGCAGATCGAGCATTTCTGCTTGATGATCTGGCACTTGTGTCTGCAACATCTCACGTCGGATCAAATCGCAAAGGCGAAGGGGATGATAAAACTTCGCATGGACAATTTAAGGTAACTTGAGCTAACATATGACATGGGTGTACACAAACTCTGCTTCTGTTGATGGTGTAGGATGCGTGCGGAATATGGCGTTCGAAAGACTTTTGCGAGTTGTCGGCCCCTTATTCCTTTTGTAGTGGATCATGCGTTTGATAATTGTCTACCATACGGCCCATGTTGCTTAACAACGCAGTTAGCTGGATTTTCTGGAGGGTAGCACACGGTATTCAGTCTGCTTGCGGGCCCTGACTGACTGACTGAATAGAATTGTGCTGGGGATGGCCTTCCATTACACTCCTATTTTCGAGGATGAATCTGGAGCACAGTTGGCCCTAGTGAACAATGTCGTTAAATTGGCGGGTTTTGTTAGTACGGTGCAAATAGCAATGCCTTTGCGAGATGTGTTGCAGGGGACCAGTCTCCCACGGATGAATGACAGCCAGATTGTTGAATTAAATGCTCTAAATTACCC